GCCCAATTTCGGATAAAGTGGTTGGAGCAAAATAGGGGATCCGGTACAACTTGATAACGGCCCCTGGTCCGGCTTGCTAACATGCTGGCAAGGCCGATGCACTGGCTACGGTATATCGGGTGTTGGCACTCAAAAAGCTAGGAGTTGCAGGACCAAGGTGGTGACATACATCCACCTTTCTCCAAATGCTCACTAGAGGGATGCGCTTGATACCAACTAACGACTTTATACCGACATTACAGATTGTACCTTGTACGCGCCTTCTGTCAAACTTCCGGCTAGCTTCTGCTTCCCGTAGGTAAGTTTCCCCTTTATTGTAGATAAAAGTTCCATTGCCTGCCCAGCGCAAGTTCTGTATTAGGAAGGCAACTGTCCCGAGAGGAATAAGCCTTATTAATTCTCTCTCGTAATTTAATCATAAGTAAAGGCTGTTCCCGCGTTACTTGTACTAAGCACCTAGCCTTTGAGAACAGTCAGCGAGGGAGCGCTGATGCAGGTCCTACTGTCGTTCTTGAAGTACGCGAGAACTTTGTCAGGCAAACACCCGTATTGGAAGCATATCCATTTTGAGCTAGAAAGCTATGCGCAAATATCCAGCGAGGCTCGCCCTAGTCTTGTACAATTAGTTTGATACCATAGTAAACAAACCACGCACCGAATACCTGCCATCAATACTGTGCCACAGTTATACTCCACCCACTTCCGATCCACTTGAGGAGCCATTTGTTACCGACGCGAACAACGTTACTTCACAGAATACAACTAATTAAGGTACCATGGTACAAGAGTAAAGAAGGACAGAGAGTGCAATATTAAAACACGGCTACCTCAAACAAAAAGGAAAACTATTGGCATGTACTCACGGGGATTGGAGTAGGACATCAGACCAATCCCCAACAAATGAAGCCGGGCAGTAAGTCGAAGAAGCACCGAGACAAAGACACAGGAGGAAAATCCGTATACCAAAGGTTCCGCTTTACCGGGGTAACGAATATCCTTGGCAAAGTAATTTAGCCAGGGGTGCTGAGTACTAACTCCGTCTCGATGTCAGTTAGCAACTAACTGTTGGAAGCAGGAAAACTATTCCCCTCTGCTCCTATAGAATATACTTTCAAGTAAAATTGGATTGTGAAACTCGCTATGAAGAGCTTTTTACAAAGTTTCAAACTGCGCGCCGTTTGTTCCGGTGACACCTAGGAACCTTTACTTCCTTACCAAGTTATATGCTTTTATGCTATACTGTTAAGTTTACGCTTGTGCAATGTTTTATCTTTTTATTTTTTGTCAAGGATAATTTCCAACTTTTGCGTATCCCTTCTAGCGACAACCTTCACCTTTCTCCTCCATGAACGGACCACAAATGGAGACTTAGGTATGCGTTGTAATTTGGATTTCAAATTGGTACAAATGATATCAAGAGATTGGCTCGATGGGCTTGGCCTGAACTATAATGGAGCATGGGTAATCATGCTTTGTAAAATGGAGGCCAACGAATAACAGGAAACCGCATGAAATGGAATGATTTAAGGAGGAATATCAAATAAATAAACGGTATATTCGCTGTAAAACGAGACACACCTCTAAAGGCATGATCAAATATGCATAAAGCATAGCTTCTTTGGAATATTAAAACATTTCGTTTCAATGCAAGGAAGAAACGAAAAGATGTAGTCCATATGAGCGAGCATATTGACAGGTGATAGTCAGATCAAGGACCATGATGGCGCTGTGGCGCGAAAACTTTTGCGTCAAGAACCAAGTGGGGGTAAATTTGCCATGTAGTGATCCATGAGCACAGGAGCCCAAACAAGGTTTAATGGTTCAATGGTGTATGATGGGATAAAAAGCATAACTTTACAAGACCCACAGGATGGATATGCAAAAGAAAATTAAAATCAAAATGTTCCAACGTGGAACGTAAAGTATCAGTGGTTAAACCATTGCACTTTAACAAATTGTTGTGTATCGTTTATCACTGAGATGCAAATCTAAGAGTCTTTCGAATGTCGTCATGTCTGGTGCGTTCACCACATAGTTTGGTAATGCATTCCAGTGAGAACAGATTCTAAGTGAGAAAAAATACTTTCTACAATTCAAACGAGAGTGTTGCGTCATCAGTTTCAGGTGGTTGCCTCGGTTTCGTTTGTATGGGGCTAGAGTCAACAGCGATGTACATGGATGCTCGCTTTCGGTTAATATCCGGTATGTGAGAGTAATATCTCCGCGAAGCCGTCGGTATTCTAATGAGAAAACACCGAGTACACGAAGACGCATTTCGTAACTTATACCGGATAGTCCACGCGTTGCTTTTGTGGCTCTTCTTTGGGGCTGTTCCAAGAGGCGGATGTCTCGTTTTAACCATGGACACCAGGCCTGAATTGCATATTCAACATGAGGACGAATGTAGGAGTTAATCAACAATGGTACTAGCTGTCGCTCAAAAGTGCCGAGAGCTCGCCTCAAAAGTCTCAAGTTCAAGTTCGCTACACTTGCTGCTTTCGAACACTGGAGCGAATTTCCAAGACTCTCTTGCACGATTATACCTAGGTCGCGTTTACTAGTCACGTGTTGCATGACATGTTGCCCCAAAAGGTATGTGTTAACGAAGCTGTTGTGCACCGTCAGCAGGTGGCACTTTGCAGCGTTCAGTGGGAGCTGGTTCTTTTCTGCCCATTCGTTAATCCGGGTCAGATCTTCCTGGAGGTAGACATGGTCGGATGCTGAGCGAATAGCTCTCCATATTTTAGGGTCGTCTGCAAATATTTGCATTGGAGATAGAATGTCTGCTGGAAGGTCATTGATGTAGACTAAAAATAGTAGCGGGCCGAGGACGGATCCTTGTGGAACACCAATGGAGACGTAAAGGCTTTCGGAATAGGTGTCAGCTACTCTTACCTTGATTGCTCTGTCGCGTAAGTAGTCTTCCAACCAAGTGAGCATGGAACCGTTGATACCGTAGGCAGCAAGCTTTTGGAGGAGAAAGAAGTGATTGACCCTGTCGAATGCTTTAGAAAAATCCAGGTATATGACATCTATGGGGACTCCTTCATCAGCCGCCCTGGTCCATAAGTCCCGAGTAATCAGCAAATTGGTGAGACAAGATCGTCTGCGTCGGAACCCATGTTGGGCGTTAGAAATTATCAGTTGACTTTCAAAGTATCGCGTCAGTTCATCTGCGATTACCGGTTCCATAACTTTTGAGAAAACAGGAAGGAGAGTAATAGGTCGGTAGTTAGCAGGATCCGAAAGCTTACCACCTTTATATATCGGAGTGATAATTCCATTTTTCCACTCAGATGGGAGTGTATGGGAGTTAAGCAGACACTGAAAAAAGGTTGCAAGTGGTGTTGCTATGGTGGGGACAAGGGTTTTTAGTACTTTTGGGCAGATCATGTCGATTCCAGGGGCACTGTACTCCCGGAGAGACTGTAGTTTGCTTGCAACAGCTGCTGGAGTAAAGGTGACGCTGGATAAGCCGACGACATTTGTTGGGGGTTGATAGGGCGAAGGTCCCATGACATTTGTAGCTACCGAGCCAAACTGCAAGAGTAGAGCATTCGCGGCATCCACAGCAGTAGTTGTTAGGCCATTGGCTGTCCTGAGTGGTGGTATTCCGGGCTTAACCTTTCTTTTGCCATTCACAAATCTGTATAGCAGTTTGGTCTTATTCATAAATTTCAGCACCATATTCTCCTGCCATTCGTACTTATCGACTCTAATGAGTGACGTGCAGTAGTTTCTTATGACTTTGTAATCCTGCCATGTGATATCACATGGGCTTAGCAAATGTTGCCTCCAGATTTCACCTCTCCTGTTGATCCATTTACGTGTTCTGCTCCGGATCCACGTATTGGTCCGGCGCGATGCTCGTAATGGTACAACCTTCGATGCTGATTGTCTGACCCAGTTAATTTTGTCTTTCAATTCATTCCACGCGTCATTCGCTGAGCTGTGCGTCCGTAGGTCCCAGTCAACGGTTGCTGCTAAGCTGCGCAGCTTATAATAGTCCGTAATAGTTCGTTGAGTCTTACTTTTTGTAGCAACAATACTGGCATAACATACGTAACCAAATGTTAGGACTGAATGGTCGCTACGGCTCAGTGGAGGATCGTATGCTACTGACTCAACCATCAACTCTTCATTAGTCAGGATTAAGTCCAGGGGTGATGGCTTGTTTGAACCGCGATGTCTTGTTGGTCGATGCACATGGTTATACAAAACTGCCATATCCATAAATTCGAGGAGTTTCCATTTAAATGATGGCCCATTAGGGGACACTGGTGCTATTGAAGGAACTTTAAAGTCACCCATTATAAGATAGTGAGAGTACTTTTGTGAAACAGCATAGTGGAGGGCGTTTAACAGAATGTTATCGCTGTCTGCTGATGAGTTCGGAGGTCTATAAATAACGGCTAAGAGGCAAGCATCACTCTTCTTCTGTGAAACAACATCTCGACCTGCTAGGTGCAGTCGGCAAAATAGTGCGTCGGGAATAACGAGGGAATTTTCGGTAAGTGCCTCACATTTCAGATAATCTCGATAGTAGAGAGCAACACCGCCCCCGCGAGATGGACGATCATTTCGTATGACTGACATCTCACTGAGTTCAATCTCCGGATCAGGTATGTCGTTTGAGAGCCAAGTTTCAGTGACTGCTATAACGACCCAAGTTGTCGTTTCATGTCGGTGGCTCAGCTCCGAGAGCTTAGAGTACAACCCCTGAGTGTTGGTGTAGCAGCATTTTATTTGTTGACGCATCAGGAGCTCGGTTCGCAGTGAGTGACCGGCACAAATAGTGCCGGTCTGCTGAAGTTTTTTGAAACAGTTGTTTGCACAGTTGGCTGGTTTGAGATGGGTACAATTGAGGCTGGCTCATCTGTATCTGAGGTCTGTGCTAATTGAAGAAATGGTCTTAACCGTACTTCTGGTGGCCCAAGTTTCCTTTTGGCATGCCATGCTTGGATTGCCACTGATACCATTTCAGGCGCAGCCAAGGTAACTTACAAAATTCGTGGCCCGCTACCTTGGTAGTTTGTGGAAGCAGTTAGACGGGTGACGTCAAAAGCCACGACATTCTTCATGTCGTATAGTTCTGCGATGTACCGCCATTCTTCGATGTCGTGCTTCTGTCGTTCACTGCTATCGTCATGCTTCAATTCTGGCACACCATGAACCAATACCACTTTCTTCATCTCATTTTGACGTGACGAACTAGGGTTGGATTTATGCTTCTGTCTTTCCGCCCATGGCCTGTCAGGAAAAATGCGGGCACTGACAGAAGAGTTCACTAGCAGGTGTCTTGCTAAGAGAACATCTTCCAGTTCACGCGTGTTGCCAAACGTTACTCGCAGTAACCGAGGTTCCCCTAAGTGTGGAGATGATGGATTTCGTGAAAGGCGTGTAAGACCAGTTGGGAGAACTTTCAGTCCGAGTGCGCTGGTTATTTCAGCCCACCGGTTTTGCTCCTCGGCTTGTCTACCTTTTAGCGATTCGCTAGTGGGTTCTGGGACGTTTGAACATATTACTGTCATCGCCTTTTGGTTGCGTAGTAATTGTTTGTTCTGCAGTTCCTTGTGAGCGTAGGTTTGTCGAGTGGGGGTGTCTGGCTTGTCTTCCGTGGACAATACGCCAACGCTACAGCAAGAATTTTTATGTGCAACGCCGCTGGTTGCGCTATCTGTAGGGGTCAATTGTTGTTGACCAGCTACTGACGGTGAGCATGCAATTTGTGCGTAACTCTGCATGCTTTGGCGCATTACGTGAGACTTGGGGTACCGTTCAAGCGGCCTGTTTTCACTGCTGTTTTTCACTAACGGTGTTTGCCTTTCGCTGGACTGGGTAGCACTTTTGCTAGAGAGCTTTTGCCTTTTAACAGGTCGGGGATTCGGGCTACGTAATGCACTATTCTGCAACCCGAGTTCTGAAATTTTCCCTCCCAATACTGCCATCAGTTCCTTTTGGTCTGCAGACGTAATAGTCAATACTTCACACGTTATCGTTAGTTTTTGAACAATCTTAATTATCGGACTATTTGAACATATGTAACAAAACCACAAGCTATCTGTCGATACGCTGTTAGCATCGTTAAGTGTAATGTTCACATTTGTCGCGTCATATGAATTGGCACAGAACGAACACGTGATTTTCGAGCGGATTTCAGTTCCCTGCTTGTCTGAGCCCCGGTTGACCTTAGCTTTGTTGCTCACTGAATTACCGGTTGACAAACTTCTCCGGCCCATGAATCAATGGTCGGTATGCACTTTTAGATTGCGCTGATCACGTCGTTTGGGCTGCCTGTTGTCTGCTCCGGTCAGCGGGTTTGGTGGTGGTGCGTCACTAGGCGCACGGGTATGCAAAATCACACAGGCTTTGTGCAGTGAAATGCACGTAAAAATATGGTGGTATGGTGAGATGACAAAAATGCTTGTATCTATGGTATAAACTGGTGCACAGTACTAAGTTATATATTGTCTGACAGTCTTAAAAAAGATCTGTCGGCTGGTATCCCAAGGTACTGATGAAACTCAAATAAGCAAAGTTACTCAAGTTGGCCTTGGTGAATAGACTTCCGAAGATTTAGTTTGTGGTGTAGTAGTGTGTCATTGGACTTACTTCAAAAATATAGACGCCGTTGGATAGAGCTCAGTGATCTGAATCGATTGAGCGTACTTCCGAAGACGTGGCACAAGAATTTGAAGGGATACGTCCAATTAAACACAGAGCACAGGATTGCACGATTAGCACGCGCACGCTGACACGCTGATAAACCTTCCGTTCCGGAGATAGTTCCACGATCTGCTGCAAGCAATGACCATTACGAAGCCGGGATGATCTGTACTGCACTAAAGCATTCTTCATATCAGAATTAGTTGCACAGGTTGGAAGTAGGAGGCTGAGGACTGCGTCAGTGTGAAATGTATAGCTGTGACTTTATTTTGTGGCGAGTCACATCCGCCACGTTGCAGTGTTTTTGAGCGGACATTTGTGGCTTTTTATAGGGAGAACGCTTGCCAGGCGAAAACCCAACACGTCATGGAAGCCTGTCGTATTTTCCGTTGAACTGTAGTGCTAGTCGGCTATGCATCGTATAGACCGATTTTGCACTCTATTATTCGCAGTCGGTTGAAAGCCAAAATTCTTCCTTCGTCGGCCGAATGGCTTAGTAATGATCCGGCAGTAGTCGTTGAAGCCGGTCAATGATGTAAAAGAGTCGCAGAGTTGAATGAAATTGATGCAGGTGAGTAAACATATTGTTAATAGAGGCCGGCTTTTTCTATTATATTGTCCGGCTCGCAACGCGTGTCCAGCTATCCATACTGGACTTGTCATAGGGACGGTGATTGCAGTTGTTTCTTGTGTCTGAATATGTCCATAACAGGAAGAAATGCTATTCTCCGCAAACTGGACTAGTAATTCCTTCAAATGTAAGTGCAAGTGTCTCCATGGCCAAGTGAGAACTCCATGAAAGATCATCGGAAAAGCCGCTTATACGCGCGCAATGCTGTCCGTGAAATGACATCAGAAAGGCTCCACGTGATTGGAGAATCGGAATGTTTGAGGCAGTGAAGATAATCACGCCAGAATGGTCTGTCTTCGGTTGTGGAACAGTGGATCCATGTAAATACATTACTCCAGGTGAGTAAATTGTTCTACTGTGAGTACGAGGCGGGCTAAACCCATTTGTTTAGACCCCGTGGTGGTAGCTTCTCCAGAATGGCGGAAAGAGCTCCATTTGGAACGATATGTGGGTTCTTCATCTCCCGGAGAAAAGATCAAGCATGTAAACCAGCTGACTATTGAGGGTGGGTCGACCAGTCCCAGTGGATAAACCTTCTTGTTTTGGTTGATGTATCTGTGGAAATCTCGGGAGAAAACGGGCAACGGACAAGAGACAGCCAAACAGAAAGACAGCAATGAAGCAAGAAGCACAAACATAGACTGGTGGCGCGCAACGGTGCCTATGATACATTAAAATTTATGTAATTTTGTTTAGTAGACATGATTTGCAAGCGCGTTCTTTACATCACGTCGCTGGTGTGACTCAGACTACAACTACTAGGTAGAAAGAAGGATCTGCACGCGCAGGGTCAAGAGACGGATACAACAAAGCGAGTTGACAAAGTTTAGCGATTAGCATGATTGTTGGAAAGTAACAGGCAACCAACGAGGATGACAGCAGACCGAATGCGAGCGGCATCTTAGGTGAAACTAAGGACAACTAGGTTGAGACCGTGTGCGGGAGCAACATAGGTAAAGCAACGTTTTAAGCAGAAAAGAAATTTAAAGAATCAGCTATGAGCGGAAGAATGCGGACGGCAGTGCGGAGAGTAAATCGTGAGAGCAATTAGGAGACGATAGTCAGGATGAAAAAGTTTTACTACTGAAGTGTGGTGAAGCCAAGGACGCTCTTGTGCGAAGTATGAATCGATCAGTCCTGAAAAATCACCGGTAATATCCCGGTAGTCAGAGAGAGCTCTGAGAGCCGGAGACCGAACAGACGAGACTTGAATAGTCGACACATCATTAGGCCTCGTACTAGTCCCAGAGCATTTTACTGGTCAGATGATGACAAAGAAGGGCATGGCACTAAGCGTCGGTCATCCGATTGAAGGATAGAGGGTACAGGTTACCGATGGAAGTGCCTATATTAATAAAGGGTAAACAAGTCTGCCCGGCTGTCAATGTAAGCAAGACATACTTTTGGGTCTATAGAGATTAGATCGGTATATCTTGCTACTCTGGAAAAGGTCAAAGGAGCAGACCGGTCAGGTGAGACTAGGTTATTACAAGGCACGGAGAGTTGGCAGTCCGATTAGAGAAGAAATGACAGTAGAGAACGCCATAAGGAGAGGAGACGGTCCGGATAGAGAGAGGTTTACTTATAAGGTGTGAAAAAGTCCTTGTGGTTCGAGAGGTAATGGGGACAGAGCGTTCGGTGTTCTCATCGAATGCTGGTAACATCGCAGCCGTCTGAAAGAATTCGGAGAGCAGGGGACCGATCAGACGAGACTGGATTAGTCGGCACATTGGGAGTACGTCAAACAGTTAAGGTGGGAAAATAAATAAAGAGTCAGCGGAGACGGATAGGTTTGGGATGCAAGTGAGTACATGATTATAATGTATGCAAGTCAGGCAGGCTCGCAATGTGAGGGAAGTTGTGTGTTGGTGATACAGAGCCTAGGACTACATTGCGCTATTTAGGAAGCAGTCAAAGAGGATAATAGGGCAGGGCTCTGAGAGCTTGCTATGCGGATGGAAAAGTGATAAATGCAGGCCGCGATAAGGAGAGGGCAGGGTCGATATTTTACGTTTACAGAATGTATGACAATGCTAAAATGTGGAAGGTAGCGGACTCTATATTAAAACGCGCTTTGCCTTAGAGCAGAACTAATCCTAACGTTTGTTTTTTTCATGCAAGAACATGGAAAGTTTGTACGAATCGAACTGATTGCTTGCGGGAAGAGCTTTTAACGGAGCTCAAAAAATATATCTGTTTATTTAATCATTTAGAGGGTTTGACAAACGGCCAAATTGCTTTGCTTTCATAACAAATGCAAAAAGTATTAAACACTACTCAAAACAATCCTGCATTTAATTCTTTTTTGAACCCCGATTGCGGGCCTGGCCGTGAAGCGTGTAAAGCTCGTGGCTCACTACGTCCTTTGGTCCTCACTTTGCAGTAGCGCGGGTCCCACGGCGGCTAGACTGTACCTCAGCGTTTCATGTGCTGTTACTTCTCTCCCAATACTTGACAACTCAGAGCACTGCGCGATAAACGCTCAGCCCCCATGCATTGGACCGGACAAACCAGCTCAAATGGAACAGCTGTTTGAAATAAATAATCGTGGGACGTCATCATTAAAAAAATCGGTCGCCACCACACGAGCAGTCGTGTTCAAGTAACCGCTGTGCAAGGCAGAAATACAACGCGTATCCTTCGTGAGAATTGGAACAGATTCAAATTTATACAACCATACTGAACGAACAGTGGCACTGGAAACAAACTCTTTAACAAGTATGTGATGTCGCCATGCGCTAAAAGTGTCTCAAGTTGGCAACAATTTTTCGGGGTCCCAGCATTGCCAAGAAAAAGCTATTGCTGAAACTGCAGCCCGCAGTAAAAGCGCCAAATGCAGGCATAGGTATTTGCCTTTTCAAACTGTGCATCTTCAGGTGAGAGCACAGGAGCAGATGTCGGCCAACATCTACACGTCTATGAGGCGTAGAACATATTATATTTAGGTGATTCGACAGCCCAAAGATTAGGAAGGAAGTGCCGTCGCTTGGATGGTCAATAAGTAGGGGATACCCTCTGCGCAATTCAAGGATTTCGCGCTTCAACCCAGTAGAAGTGCTGACTAGCCGAACAACCTCCTCGTGGTGTCAGCTGGGTGGTTCGGGTTTAGCCCGTTCCAGCAAATAGTTCGGCGGCAGTGTTCCAGGATGGGGTGGGTTTCGCCTGGCAAGCGTTCTCCCTATAAAAAGCCACAAATGTCTGCTTAACAACACCGTGACGTTGCGGTCGTGATTCGCCACACAATCAAGTCACCGCCCCGTGGATATCCGGATAATGCTATATAACCCACGGACACCCATCTCCTACTCGCATGTTGGTGACGATATCAAGCAGTGAAGATTGCAGCAGCACAACTACAAGCACAAAATGCACAGCTAAATACACATACGCACACAATGGCACACATACACACCCCCTTCACAAACACAAACTGCTATGGCAAACATATCGGATTTTTGC